AATCCACCATAGTCGATAAGGGTTCACTACATAGTCGAAGAACTTGCCTTGTAACATACGGTTAAGCACGACATTACTCATCGTACACTGGTATGAAAACACTTCTGGTCAAATGTCTATAAGTCATCTGTACCTTATTCTTTTATATACCTCGCTGGTGTCCAAGGTGACATAAGTTGGCGACTGCTGAACGGAGCTTTTTTTGATAGCTAAACTGAGATTTAACCAATGACTAACTCGTTCTGGCTCATCCAACCCCCCCCCCCACAAGTAAGCAAGGTAAACAACACTTCTTTCGGTCCAAGCAATAGATCCTCGATTCAAATTCTGCTCTCAAGGTCTCATGGAGCCGCGATCTATTAATCAATGCTCTTAATCTCCATCCCATAAGTCATTGGTTCGAACGCATATCAACCTATGCAGGTTTGGGCGGTCAGGTAGTATAATTAGGCTAACCAAGATAGTTGTGATTCATTGCCTACCGCACAAATGTGTTATTATCATTTGTTCCTTGGGTTCCTAGTCGAACATAGGGCTTCTCTAGCACATCTCCATTTCACTCTCTTCTCTGCAATCTTTTCAACCTGCCTCCACGACCGCCTACAAGTTTTCATTTCTTCTTCACACACCATCTCCTCGATGTTACGTTCGGACGCCCAACTCATTGTTTCCCATTTGGGTTCTACTCGAGGGCCTGGCAGGTAGCGTCCTCAAGTGTTCTCACTTCCACTTTCTTCTGCTTCAAACATTGTACGGACATTTTATGTCCCCATGTTTACTTTCACTTTCATCGAGAGAAGAGAAGACACATCGACCAATTGGATTCCTGAAGGCTTTCACCAACCGGCGTCATTTCGCCTCGCCGATTCCAGTGAGGATTTGTTTTACGGAGTAGGGTTGCTAGCCCTATGCCCAACCTTTCTTGTTTATCCGGGTTTAATAACGGCCAGTAACTAGTGAACTAGTTAACTAAGCGGGGTTACACAGATGAGTACAAGGTTGATAAGTATGACTCAGCCAAGTGCATAAACACACGTACCGAGTTGAAAAAATCGGAAGCACTTGACAGCTATCTCACACAAAATGCAGGACTCCTTAGCAATACGCAACCATAACCATGCCGCAAGTCGTACCTAAAGCCTCCAGGTTTGCCGGAGATCACGTTACCACTGAACCACTGAGTCAACATTTTTCTACTTCAGTTAATTCGCAGTATATAGAGCTACATTTCTCCAATACCGCTATCGTTGATTACCTGGCCACATGTCCAGCTTGATTTGCTTCGCTAGTTAACACTTCTCATTTGAACTTTGAGAAATCTCATCTCGAAGAAAGACAGAAACATTTACAAATCACTTTCAGATTTGGTTATTGATACCCAATTTCGAAGTCTTTAAAGTTATTCATTTCCTTCAGCTGTCCTGCCCTGACCACCTTCCTTAGATAATCAGAGTTGACTAAAGGCTAAGCTAGTGGATATTGTCCTTTGATTCCGTAGTTCAGGGACAGCTTTAAAAAACTTCGAAATAGATCTGATATAACTGATTGACGTAATCAAGTCAGGACATTGCACACAAGCACATCGTCTCAAGTGTTACCACACTTCAAAGAAGTACACACAAAAAAACAAACAAGTGGATAGAAAAGGAGTCATATCAAAGTAGACAAAGTTGTGTGATTGGAAAAAAGGGTCAGTGTGAATATTTAAGGTTTAGATGTCAAGGAGTGAATACATCTTCGCCACTATCACCAAGAGTCCTCAGTCACTAACCACAGAATCGAGTAGACATCTCTCAGTCAAGTGTGACATAAACATTATGTTATGTTAATATATGTTTGTATTTACTCAAATGTTTAGGATGATATTCAAGTTTTTCGTTAGGCAGGTTGAAGCAAAACATTGTTACAGGTGGGTCAGCTTGTTGCTACACCATTCATAACATTTCTTCTTGGAAAAGCATCGATCCTTCCATAATAATTTGAAACCATTTAAGCAGACTAAATCATCATCATCATCATTATAAAAGGGATGAAGTCATGTTTCCTGCAGTAGTATTACACCCATATTTCAATAAATATTAGTGGATAAGAGTGATTTCTTCACGGTAACAACCTTCAGTTTGTGCTTAAGTATTTCCAGAATAGTCATGAGCTTGAGAGCCTATTGTCATCCATCTTGATACCTTTTTCTGTATTCTCCTATCAGCTTCTAATGTGATAGGTTGCGAGAGCGTTATACTCCGATTAGTTGATACAAATGTGAATGATTAAAACAATATGGAAAGAATAAATTTAATGGAATATATTCATTCCATGATAAAATGAGGTAGCTGACGTTCATATACAAAAAACCTACTTGGTTACATCAGTATATAAGTTTTCATAACTTTTATACATCTGAATACAACAAGCGAGTTTTGGTAATGTACTTGTGTTCAATAGGATCCAACATATTTATATGGAAGATTCAATGATTGATAACATTGAAATACTAACTGAAACATTAGTTGAAAACAGATATTCATTGAAATTCATAAATCATTGCAAAAAAAAGCAGTCAGCATTGAAATTCAGTGTATATTCATTCTATTCTGAAGAAATCCATTTATACGATACTATCATATAGAAGGGAATCCTACAGTGTAATTTTAAAACAAAGGTTACAATCTGTCATTAGGAAGACATACTATGCCGCTAGACTGATTTGTCATAGTTCAGGAAGCTAAACACACCTTGACACTTCGACCTCAAAACTTCATAAACGACTGACTCACATCCCACTGTATGTGGAGACACATATACATTATTATTATTTTTCGCTTGGGTTCCTAGTGGAACATAGAGATTCAGTAGGATGTCTCCATTCCACTCTCTAATCTGCAATCTTTTCAACACGGCTCCATGACTGCCCACAAGCTATCATCTCTTCCATGTCAACCTCACCTCGGACGCCTAACTCGTCGTTTCCCATTTGGATTCCACTCGACGGTCTGGACTGGTGTGTGATGTCCCCAGTCGGCCTCCTTAGTGTATGCCCAATCCATCTCTACTTTTCTCTTCTGTATATTTGTTGAGCGATAGGTTCTTGGTTGGTTCGTTATCAGGCAAAAGTTCCTCCTTGTTTATTCTTTCTGGCAATCTATCTGATCTTCAGTATCGAGTGAGTCTAGGTGGCAGCTGTTCATGAATGTCTGTAGTTTGTTGAAAATGCTATTCGTGACACGCCAAGTTGGACTAATCGTGATATGCACTTGAGAGTAGGGGACATATACCGAAATGGCTACAAAAGCAGCTGGTAAACATCCATAAGCGCAGGTAACAGACAACCATCATCATCAAATGCAAAACTCCGATGAAAGTCACAGGATTGATATCAGAACAGCCTTTACAATTTTGTATAGAAACTGTCAGGGTCGTATACCCTGGTTTGTTGCAGCACTAACCATACACAAATTTTTAAGTCCCCGTTCTGTGTTCAAAAACAATTTCTCCTTATGCTTAACCTACCCTGCTAGTGCTTATCTTATCGTTATTACCAAGATTGTCTTCAAATGTTATCATTCTCCTTTCATTTGTTTTTCTACTAAATTCCTTTATATCATATTTATCCTTCCTGCCCTTCCAGTTTCCATATGGCGAAAATACGTCAATTGAATTCAGGGGTTTGTGGGAGACTTAGTGATATTTTTTTCAAGCTGGTATTCATCATGGACTGACATCAGTTGGAGGAACATTGGGAGCACTGGCCAACATCCGTTTCATCCTAGTACGGGACTCTTCAGCAGTGCGCACCCGTGGCCTTGCCCACTCCACGAGAGGTCGAATCCACCACCTTCAAGTTCCATGGCCAGCACCTTACCATTGAGCCACTGAGTCGGCGGAATCCAGTAGTTCAACGGTCTACAGTGTTCCTTCAACTGATACCAGTGCACCATGAATACCAACTTGGAAAACATGTCACATTTCTCAGGTAATCTACGTCCTATAATTGGAATATTTAAATTCATGGAACGGACGAATAACTACAAACTATAACATCAAAACCATACAATACTCGTTGCAGCAGCTGGCGTGACTTAGTGGGTAATGCTGTGGTATTTAAAAGCGATTGCCTCTAGGTTCGAGTCCTAATGTGGACAAAACACCTCACCAGGAGGCTGGCACATTCGGCTGAAGAGTCCCAAAGGGGACGAAACGATCATTAGTATTATTGCATAAAATTGTTGTAATGGCAGATGGTATTGCTACCGATTATTAATAATCAATAAAGCCAATAAAGTTTGTTGTGTATCTATCTACCTGCCTGTATGCCCACCTTGGACAATGAAGTATGAAACATACCCACGCAGAACAATGTTGACCTCGTATATACAACACCATAGATATCAGCGAAGAAAATCAATAATTTTATTAGAATTACTCATAAAATTCATTTATATCAATACAAATACACGCCAATATGAATGATGAAAGCGGGGAGGAGGTTGACCGTAAAGGTCAACCTGGTAATCGTTAAAATAACCAATCAAATTTTGTTATTTCAAATGTGAAGGTCGTTGTCACTCAGTGAGGTGGGGTGGAGGGCACCACATCTTATCCATCGAATCAATTGAACCGGAATAATAATGAGGCGAAAAAGTAGTAGATTTAGAAATTTTACAAGATCCAAACAAAGTCAAAGAGTGATAGTTACACACATAACTGTTACTGTTACGGTATTCAAGTGTAAAATAGACATATGATCAATAAAATGTATTTTATTATTATTACTTTATATGTTACAATGTAAGATAATAGCCCAATAAAGATTACAACTTCAATACATGTACAGAGCAATTTATCTATCCATTCAGTTATACTGGAACAGGCACACAAACAGAGTTCTCATCTAGGCAGAATATGTATCATATAACATGGACTAGTCATGATTATTCTACTACTGCTTACTTTAACTACACCTCTCCGCCTTTGTTTATATTTAGCGCGGAAAAAAAATGCAATTACATCTCATTATTATTGTTTAAGTGATCTGGGAGCATAATATGATATAATGTATAGCATATTGTACTATTAGGAAAATAATATAAACATATCAGTGAGAATAATGTACACATCTAGATCCCAGTGTAATGCTGTGTATGTGTGCTGTATAAACCAATCAAATAGTCTGACGTATTATTGATTTATTCAGACTAGAGTAGCAAGTTTGAAATTCAGCCCGATATACGTGTCTGTCTGTCTGCTGTCTACCATATTAGTAATGCAGGGCAGACTGCCTGCCTGATTCATTGTATAGACCATTAATATACACATCTAAATTCCAATGTAATGCTGTGTGTGTGTGTGTGTGTGTATGTATGCGTATACCGTATAAACCAATGAAATAGTCTGAAGGATTATTGATTTATTCAGACTAGAGTAGCAAGTTTGAAATTCGGCCCGATATATGTGTCTATCTGTCTACTATGTGAGTAATGCAGGACAGACTGCCTGCCTGATTCATTGTATAGACCATTGATATGCATAGGATGTGGAAGGGGGTGGAAGGGGGGGAAACGGGTTAGCGCATTGTCAATAGTAAACCTTATAGGAGAAAGAAGGCAGTTTAGTCATCAATAGAGAGGAATGAGAAAAGAATAAATAAACAAGATGAATAGATAGAATGAACTGTACATAAATTTAGGAGAAAAAACAAACAAACAAACACAACGACAATAATGACTAATCAATTGCTGGTAAAATCTTACCAGAGAAGGGGAAAAGAAAAAGAATAACTACCAACAGTTAATATGAACATTATTCAAAGACAACTTGACAACAAATCATAAACAAAAGGCACATTTAAAAAGTAGATGGAGGTATTCATTAATCAAATGAGGAGAAGAGAAAAATACATCTTTTTTCTGTTAATAAATCAATAAAATCTTGAAATACTCAAAAAGAAAGAAAGAAGAAAGATTACCTTTCACCTTCTCTCTTATCATTATTATCATTATTATTACTATGATTAGTATTCACTTGTTTCCCCTTTGATAGTTGAGATACAAGTGCTTGATGAATAAATGCATATTGTTTACCGACTTGTACAGCTCCAGCACGTTGACATCTTAGTTGACTGACAACTGCTGGTACATCAAGATAACCTTCATTATTTGCTTGTTGTAAACAGATATCTGTTGTAACAAAAGTTCCTATAAAGATAGAAATAATGAAAAAAATAAATGATATGCTACATGTATACATGTGGATGAATTCATTGTGAATACGACTAAAGTGTTATTTTTTTTAGTTGAACATACGGCTTCAGTAGCACGACTCCACTACACTCCATTCTCTGCAGTCTTTTCAACCTCGCTGCAATACTGTCTACAACCTCCTATTTCTTCCTCACACCATCTCCTCCATATCACCTTCGTCTCGGATGCCCAACTCGTCGTTTCCCATCTGGGTTCCACACAAGTGCCTGGCCTAATGCGTGATATCCCGAATGGTCTTCTCAATGGATGCCCAATCCATCTCCAATTTTCTTTCCTGTATATTTGTTGGTCGATGGGTTCTTGGTTGGTTCGTTGCCAGAGTGAGTCCCATATAGTTTATTCTTTCTGGCCATCTGATCTTCAGTATCGAGTAAGCGTAAGTGGCAGCTGTTGATGAATGTCTGCAATTTGTTGGAAAAACTTTTCGTAACACATCAAGTTGGACTAATCGTGATATGCACCTGGCAACACGACTGCTCACAAGCTCTCATTTCTTCCTCACATGATCTCCTCCATGTCAACTTCACCTCGGATGCCCAACTCGTCATTTCCCATCTGGGTTCCACTCGAGTGACTGGTCTGGCGTATGATGTGCCCGAATGGTCTTCTCAGTGCATGTTCAATCCATCTCCACTTCCTTCCAGTGCATATTTGTTGGGTGATAGGTTCTTGGTTGGTTCGTTATCAGAGCTCCTTGTTGCTTATTCTTTCTGGCAATCCATCTGATCTTCAGTATCGAGTGAGCCTAGGTGGCAGCTGTTGATAAATGTCTGTAGTTTGTTGGAAATCCTTTCGTAACGCGCCAAGTCTCTGAACCATACAGAAGCAAATTCAATGTGATACCTCTTCATCTCGTTTGCAATCTGGGCTGCCTTACTGGGTTCAGACATGGTGCGGATATTCCATGTTCCCACGTTTAACTTTCGCTTTCATCGAGAGAAGACACATCAGCCAATTGGCTTCCGAAGCCTTTCACCAACTGGCGTCATTTCGCCTCTCCGATTCCAGTGAGGAATAATTTTGTTTTTATTTTTTATATATTTTGTTCGTGCTTTGAAGTTTGTTTAGCGGTTAGACTGGTTTTACGGGGTAGGGTTGCTAGCCCTATGCCCAACCTTCCCTCTTTACCCGGGCTTAGGACCGGCTAGTTAACTAGTTAAGCAGGCGAGGTTTTACATTAGAATGTTTGGTCATAAATCTACGCTGTGCTGTAAGAAGTGCACATAGGACCCCACGACTGTGGTCATATTCGCTTGATTTCATCTGACAAGAGACTGGAGATTAAATAGCTCACATCAATTCGTTGGTATTTGGCAGCATACTATTCTGTTTCTTAGACTAGAGACAGTAGGCAATTTTCGGATTGGTTACTACCCCTTAATCACCATAATTATTAGCTGTCTAACTGAATGAATCAAATAGGATTTGAAAAAGACAAACAAACTAATTTATAGCGGATAGACAGAAATGACTAAGCCAGAAATGGACCAATCAAAGTGTAGAGGGGTCGATAGATAGACAGACATATATGGTTGATCAGCCAACCAATAGGATTATTGTAAATAGCCAACTATCTATATACATATAGAGCATACATTTTCTACTGTTTTTGGTCATTTCCATTTATTGAATAAAATGGCGGCTGGAACTTGACATCCATGCATCGTTAACAGTCATAGCAGTTTCCAAATCATAACACTAATCACTTCATGTATTTTTCAGATGAATGAGGACTTTTTTTTAGAAGTAGTATTGATTATGGACTGATATCAGTTGAGGCACCATTGAAAATAAAAATCCCCATTCATCTGAAGAATACATAACTGTATAGTCGTCATTAGTGAATTGCTTCCACATGGATATCACCAAGGTGAAATAAGAAACCGTGACCTGTGGAGTCAACCAGTCGGATGTGAAGTGGATGCTAACTGAAGACCTAAGGTGATAGTCATGCTGCATCGTGAATTGACAGAAGTTGGAAATTATGAACCATTGGAAACCGACTGACCGAGTAGCTGAGTGGTTAACGCGTTCGCCGTGAAACCTAAAGGTCGTGGGTGCGTACTGCTGAGGAGTCCCCTACTTGGACGAAACAGCTGTCCAGTGCTCCCAGATTTTCAATGGTTCCCTAACTGACGTCACTCCAACATGAATACTACTTCCAAATTTAAAAAAAATCCCCATTCATCTCAAAAATACATTACTGTATAGTCCTCATTAGTGACTTGCCTCCAGATGCATATCAGGAAGGTGTAATGAGAAACCGTGACCGTTGGTAGGGTCAACCAATTCAGTCGGATGTGAAGTGGATGCTAACTGAACACCTTGGGTAACAGTCACGCTATATCGTGAATTCACAGAAGTTGGAAATTGTGAACCATTGCAAACCGACTGACCGAGTGGCTGAATGGTTAACGCGTTCGCTGTGAAACCTGAAGGTCATGTGTGCGTACTGCTGAGGAGTCCCATACTAGTTGGACGAAACAGGCATCGAGTGCTCCCAGGTTTTCAATCGTTTCCCCACTGATGTTAGTCCATGATGAATACTATTAATCACTTTAATTTATGAAGGGATTTATTTATTGATTTCATCATGAACTGAAATCAATCAACCTAGTGATTTGGACAGGGATATCGGAGAACAACACTGAACCAATCAAATTCTAGCCATGATATACACCATGAAAGAATAAACAAAATAATGATAATCAAAGATTGAAACTGAATGAAGATAACATACCTGTACGACCGATACCAGCACTACAGTGTACTAATAATGGTGATATAGAATTTGATTTATCATTCATATGATTTACTAATATTGATGAAGATGATAAAGATGCTGATAAATTTCTACTTGATCTTGTCTTATGACTTTGTTTTACAGTGAAAAGAAATTTTAAAAAACTTTCTGAATCAACTGGAACATCAAAATCAGGCCAACCTAAATATAAGTAGTGATATACTTCCAATTTCTTATTACTCTCCACTAATGGATTGACTGATATAACACTGGAATTCTGAAATAAAAATACAATAAAGAAGTGAATAACGGGATCAAGTGAAATACACATACACACATCAGATCAGATCAGATCAGATCTACCTTGAACTAGGCCAAAACTCGATGAAACTGCTAATTGATTGGTCTATTTGATGATAATCTTACAAATCTAAATGAAGCGGATTTTGTTGAAAAGGCAACGTCTTTATAGGATCTAGTCTATGAACAGATTCATAGGCAAGATTAGGATTGATGATGTTATCATCATTTTGAATAGAATATTAGTCACCTTTACGAGGTATAAACGACAACTATTTCTGCGGATTGCTTCAAAAATACTTTAACAATACCATGTAAAGTGTATAACATCTGTATGATTGTCATTTCATTCATTCATTCATTCATTCATTCATTCACTTCATTCATTCATTCACTTCATTCATTCATTCATTCATTCATTCACTTCATTCATTCACTCCATTCATTCACTTCATTCACTTCATTCATTCATTCATTCATTCACTTCATTCATTCACTTCATTCATTCACTTCATTCATTCACTTCATTCATTCACTTCATTCATTCACTTCATTCATTCATTCATTCATTCATTCATTCATTCATTCATTCATTCATTCACTTCATTCATTCATTCATTCATTCATTCATTCATTCATTCATTCATTCATTCATTCATTCATTCATTCACTTCATTCATTCATTCACTTCATTCATTCATTCATTCATTCATTCATTCATTCATTCATTCATTCATTCATTCATTCATTCATTCATTCATTCATTCATTCATTCATTCATTCATTCATTCATTCATTCATTCATTCATTCATTCATTCATTCATTCATTCATTCATTCATTCATTCATTCATTCATTCATTCATTCATTCATTCATTCATTCATTCATTCATTCATTCATTCATTCATTCATTCATTCATTCATTCATTCATTCATTCATTCATTCATTCATTCATTCATTCATTCATTCATTCATTCATTCATTCATTCATTCATTCATTCATTCATTCATTCATTCATTCATTCATTCATTCATTCATTCATTCATTCATTCATTCATTCATTCATTCATTCATTCATTCATTCATTCATTCATTCATTCATTCATTCATTCATTCATTCATTCATTCATTCATTCATTCATTCATTCATTCATTCATTCATTCATTCATTCATTCATTCATTCATTCATTCATTCATTCATTCATTCATTCATTCATTCATTCATTCATTCATTCATTCATTCATTCATTCATTCATTCATTCATTCATTCATTCATTCATTCATTCATTCATTCATTCATTCATTCATTCATTCATTCATTCATTCATTCATTCATTCATTCATTCATTCATTCATTCATTCATTCATTCATTCATTCATTCATTCATTCATTCATTCATTCATTCATTCATTCATTCATTCATTCATTCATTCATTCATTCATTCATTCATTCATTCATTCATTCATTCATTCATTCATTCATTCATTCATTCATTCATTCATTCATTCATTCATTCATTCATTCATTCATTCATTCATTCATTCATTCATTCATTCATTCATTCATTCATTCATTCATTCATTCATTCATTCATTCATTCATTCATTCATTCATTCATTCATTCATTCATTCATTCATTCATTCATTCATTCATTCATTCATTCATTCATTCATTCATTCATTCATTCATTCATTCATTCATTCATTCATTCATTCATTCATTCATTCATTCATTCACTTCATTCATTCATTCATTCATTCATTCATTCATTCATTCATTCATTCATTCATTCATTCATTCATTCATTCATTCATTCATTCATTCATTCATTCATTCACTTCATTCATTCACTTCATTCATTCATTCATTCATTCATTCATTCACTTCATTCATTCACTCCATTCATTCACTTCATTCATTCATTCATTCATTCATTCATTCATTCATTCATTCATTCATTCATTCATTCATTCATTCATTCATTCATTCATTCATTCATTCATTCATTCATTCATTCATTCATTCATTCATTCATTCATTCATTCATTCATTCATTCATTCATTCATTCATTCATTCATTCATTCATTCATTCATTCATTCATTCATTCATTCATTCATTCATTCATTCATTCATTCATTCATTCATTCATTCATTCATTCATTCATTCATTCATTCATTCATTCATTCATTCATTCATTCATTCATTCATTCATTCATTCATTCATTCATTCATTCATTCATTCATTCATTCATTCATTCATTCATTCATTCATTCATTCATTCATTCATTCATTCATTCATTCATTCATTCATTCATTCATTCATTCATTCATTCATTCATTCATTCATTCATTCATTCATTCATTCATTCATTCATTCATTCATTCATTCATTCATTCATTCATTCATTCATTCATTCATTCATTCATTCATTCATTCATTCATTCATTCATTCATTCATTCATTCATTCATTCATTCATTCATTCATTCATTCATTCATTCATTCATTCATTCATTCATTCACTTCATTCACTTCATTCATTCATTCATTCATTCATTCATTCATTCATTCATTCATTCATTCATTCATTCACTTCATTCATTCACTTCATTCATTCATTCATTCATTCATTCATTCATTCATTCATTCATTCATTCATTCATTCATTCATTCATTCATTCATTCATTCATTCATTCATTCATTCATTCATTCATTCATTCATTCATTCATTCATTCATTCATTCATTCATTCATTCATTCATTCATTCATTCATTCATTCATTCATTCATTCATTCATTCATTCATTCATTCATTCATTCATTCATTCATTCATTCATTCATTCATTCATTCATTCATTCATTCATTCATTCACTTCATTCATTCATTCATTCATTCATTCATTCATTCATTCATTCATTCATTCACTTCATTCATTCATTCATTCATTCATTCATTCATTCATTCATTCATTCATTCATTCATTCATTCATTCATTCATTCATTCATTCATTCATTCATTCATTCATTCATTCATTCATTCATTCATTCATTCATTCATTCATTCATTCATTCATTCATTCATTCATTCATTCATTCATTCATTCATTCATTCATTCATTCATTCATTCATTCATTCATTCATTCATTCATTCATTCATTCATTCATTCATTCATTCATTCATTCATTCATTCATTCATTCATTCATTCATTCATTCATTCATTCATTCATTCATTCATTCATTCATTCATTCATTCATTCACTTCATTCATTCATTCACTTCATTCATTCACTTCATTCATTCATTCATTCATTCATTCATTCATTCATTCATTCATTCATTCACTTCATTCATTCATTCACTTCATTCATTCATTCATTCATTCATTCACTTCATTCATTCACTCCATTCATTCACTTCATTCACTTCATTCATTCATTCACTTCATTCATTCATTCATTCATTCATTCACTTCATTCATTCATTCACTTCATTCACTTCATTCATTCATTCATTCATTCATTCATTCATTCATTCATTCATTCACTTCATTCATTCATTCATTCATTCATTCATTCATTCATTCATTCATTCATTCATTCATTCATTCATTCATTCATTCATTCATTCATTCATTCATTCATTCATTCATTCATTCATTCATTCATTCATTCATTCATTCATTCATTCATTCATTCATTCATTCATTCATTCATTCATTCATTCATTCATTCATTCATTCATTCATTCATTCATTCATTCATTCATTCATTCATTCATTCATTCATTCATTCATTCACTTCATTCATTCATTCATTCATTCATTCATTCATTCATTCATTCATTCATTCATTCATTCATTCATTCATTCATTCATTCATTCATTCATTCATTCATTCACTTCATTCATTCATTCATTCATTCATTCATTCATTCATTCATTCATTCATTCATTCATTCATTCATTCATTCATTCATTCATTCATTCATTCATTCATTCATTCACTTCATTCATTCATTCATTCATTCATTCATTCACTTCATTCATTCACTTCATTCATTCACTTCATTCATTCACTTCATTCATTCATTCATTCATTCATTCATTCATTCATTCATTCATTCATTCATTCATTCATTCATTCATTCATTCATTCATTCATTCATTCATTCATTCATTCATTCATTCATTCATTCATTCATTCATTCATTCATTCATTCATTCATTCATTCATTCATTCATTCATTCATTCATTCATTCATTCATTCATTCATTCATTCATTCATTCATTCACTTCATTCATTCACTTCATTCATTCACTTCATTCATTCACTTCATTCATTCATTCATTCATTCATTCATTCATTCATTCATTCATTCATTCATTCATTCATTCATTCATTCATTCATTCATTCATTCATTCATTCATTCATTCATTCATTCACTTCATTCATTCACTTCATTCATTCACTTCATTCATTCACTTCATTCATTCACTTCATTCATTCACTTCATTCATTCACTTCATTCATTCATTCATTCATTCATTCATTCATTCATTCATTCATTCATTCATTCATTCATTCATTCATTCATTCATTCATTCACTTCATTCATTCACTCCATTCATTCACTTCATTCATTCACTTCATTCATTCACTTCATTCATTCATTCATTCATTCACTTCATTCATTCATTCATTCATTCATTCATTCATTCACTTCATTCATTCATTCATTCACTTCATTCATTCATTCACTTCATTCATTCATTCATTCATTCATTCATTCATTCATTCATTCATTCATTCATTCATTCATTCATTCATTCATTCACTTCATTCATTCATTCATTCATTCATTCATTCATTCATTCACTTCATTCATTCATTCATTCATTCATTCATTCATTCATTCATTCATTCATTCATTCATTCATTCATTCATTCATTCATTCATT